GCAATTAATTTACACGTATTGGGATTTTTTTTTAGCAAAGACATGTCGCAGAATACATTTTGGCCTAAATTTATAGCGAAATTTGATTTAAAAATTTTTTTTACTGGACTTGTTTAATAGCAAAAAGTCAAAATTGTATTTTTTTTTCTCAAAATTGTCAGTCTTTTTATTTATAGCACAAAAAAAAATAAAAAATGCACAGGCGATCAAATACCACCGAAAGAGAGCTCAATTCCTGGGAAAAAAAGGACTTAAATTTCATTTGGGTGCTCCGTTGCATGACCGCGCAATTGTCAGTTAAAGCAACGCAGCTCCATAACGCAAAAGATGACCTGGTCAGGAAGGTGGGTAAATCCTCAGTAGGGCAAGTGGTTTTAAAGTGCTTTTACTGTTTGTTTAGAAAATGCAAATACTTTAGTTTGCCCGATATGGCCACAACTGCACTTTTAAGGCCTCCTGCACACTATACTGATTCATGAGCATAAGACATTCCTGGCAGAAAAAATACGCAAGGATGGGCTGTATATCACTTGCGCATATTTGCACGTATTTGCAAGTATGCAGACACAAGCAGGAAACATGGCATTTGAGTGAATTTCATGTATTTGCAAGTATACATATAAAAATACTGACTGGCAACTCAGATTTCTGTTTTTTTTTTTTACTAATTAATACGCAGGGCATGTTCACTCGCCTGTGTGTACAGGCACATTGAAAACAATGGACTACATTTAGATCAGTAAAAGAAAACGACTGTATGCTTGAAAAATGAGCGTTTCCAGGGAGCAGTGTGCAAGAGGCCTACGTAAGTTTACCGGATTTTTAAAAATAAATTTGGGAACACCTTACTGACCACTTTTAACCACAACCACAAAACTATAACCCCCATTCGGGTACTCTGAGAAGAGGAATGATGAATCATGCTTAGCACACCAAGACTATTGGTGGTTTTGGCTAAATTGTGCAATGGGAGAGGTTTAAGGGGGTATGGTTAAATTAAACCTAAGCCTAGTCTTCTCTCCGGGTGAGGAGTGCATAACGCACAGGGTTCAGGGTCAGTAGTGTGTAATGCACAGAGTGTGGGGATCAAGAGTAAGTAATGCACAGAGTGCAGGCTTCATAGGTGTGTGATGCATAGAGTTCAGGGTGTGTAACACATATTGCTGGGGTCAGGAGTAAGCAACACACAGAGTGCATGGGTCAGAAATACATAATGCACAGAGTGCAGTGGTCAGTTTGTGCCTAATGCACAAAGTGCAAGGATAAACGGTGTGTAAACACATATAGAGTGCATGAGTCAGGAGCAAGAAAGTACAGAGTGCAAGGATTATGCAATGCACAGAGAGAAGGAATCATGACTGTGTATTGCACAGAGTGCAAGGGTCAGGAATGTGTGTATTGCACAGATAGAGAGGGGGTCAAGAGTAAATAATGCAAAGAGCGCAGGGGTCACTACCACGTAACACACAGAGTGCACAGTTCAGCAGTGTGTAACATATAATGGCAGGGGTCAGGTGTGTGTACAGCACAGAGTGCAAGGGTCAGTGTGTAAAGAAGCATTTAGGGTCAGAATAAGTAATGCAGGAGAGTTCAGGGGCCAGTAGGTAACACAGCAGAGTTTTTGAGTCTGTAGTAAGTTATACAGCAGTGTTCAGGGTCAGTAGTAACGCAGCAGAGTTTAGTGGTCTGTAGTAAGATATACAGCAGTGTTCAGGGGTCAGTAGTAACGCAGCAGAGTTTTAGGGGTCTGTAGTAAGATATGCAGTGTTCAGGGTCAGTAGTAACGCAGCAGAGTTTTTAGGGGTCTGTAGTAAGATATACAGCAGTGTTTCAGGGGTCAGTAGTAACGCAGCAGAGTTTAGGGGTCTGTAGTAAGTTATACAGCAGTGTTCAGGGGTCAGTAGTAACGCAGCAGAGTTTAGGGGTCTGTAGTAAGTTATACAGCACAGGGGTCAGTAGTAACGCAGCAGAGTTTAGGGGTCTGTAGTAAGATATACAGCAGTGTTCAGGGGTCAGTAGTAACGCAGCAGAGGTTAGGGGTCTGTAGTAAGATATACAGCAGTGTTCAGGGGTCAGTAGTAACGCAGCAGAGTTTAGGGGTCTGTAGTAAGATATACAGCAGTGTTCAGGGGTCAGTAGTAACGCAGCAGAGTTTAGGGGTCTGTAGTAAGTTATACAGCAGTGTTCAGGGGTCAGTAGTAACGCAGCAGAATTTAGGGGTCTGTAGTAAGTTATACAGCAGTGTTCAGGGTCAGTAGTAACGCAGCAGAATTTAGGGTCTGTAGTAAGATATATAGCAGTGTTCAGGGGTCAGTAGTAACGCAGCAGAGTTTAGGGGTCTGTAGTAAGATATATAGCAGTGTTTAGGGGTCAGTAGTAACGCAGCAGAGTTTAGGGGTCTGTAGTAAGATATATAGCAGTGTTTAGGGGTTAGTAGTAATGCAGCAGAGTTTAGGGGTCTGTAGTAAGATATATAGCAGTGTTTAGGGGTTAGTAGTAATGCAGCAGAGTTTAGGGGTCTATAGTAAGATATATAGCAGTGTTCAGGGGTCAGTAGTAACGCAGCAGAGTTTAGGGGTCTGTAGTAAGATATATAGCAGTGTTTAGGGGTTAGTAGTAACACAGCAGAGTTTAGGGGTCTATAGTAACTAATACAGCAGAGTTTAGCAGTCAGTAGCAAGCAACACAGCAGAGATCAGGGGTCAGTAATAAAAGTGGCAGAGTTCAGGGGTCAGTAGTGAGTAATGCAGCAGAATTTAGGGGTCAAAATGTTGCATAGAGTGTGTCAGTACATATCACTGTGTCACATGATGTGCCTCCTCCATCTCAACACCTTGGGTCATGGTGCTTGGTGTCAGCAATTGATGGTGATTGCCAGTAATTGACAAGACAGGACAGGCAGGCTCTCCACATTGAGCATAAATGCCCGCATCAAACCACCGTCTTTATTCATCTGATGGCAATCACCCTGGCAAGGTGACATAACACCTCTGACCTCAGGAACGGCTTCTACACAACATGGCAAAGCCCCCCTAACTTCCACATTACTGGAGCCCCAAGTTGAGCATGGGGGTGAATGTGTGGTATATTCAGCACTAAGGTTCCCAACGATGTCCCTGGTGGAGCAGCAGAATTAGAATGCAAAATGTTTTCCTGCATTCTCTGCTACTGGAGACACCACAGTGGGTGTTTGTTTTCAGGGACAAACCTCTCAAAAGGGGGACTGTCCCCGGGAAACAGGGACAAATAGTAACCAAACTGTACTTTCAAGCCCAACTCCAGGACAGGGAAGATTCCCTCCCCCCAGACAATATTCCCCATCCCCCTCTAACTTTTCTGTAATGAATTGAAAAAAAAAAAAACTAAATAAAAATGGTCCAAATCACTTCATCTAAATCTGCAGTCACACTTGGTTGGTTCCTCTTAGGTTTGAGAAGACTGCTGTGGCTTTAGGACTTATTGCAGAAATGGTATTGCTGGCAGGGTCCACCAGATAAAAAGGAAAAGAATCCTCAAAAAATGAAAACTGCCAATCTCTGCTTAGACCCTGACTACTCTTTTGCCTACTGCCTGATCTGACCTCTAGTACAAAAAAGGGGGCAGAGAAAGGCCAGGGAGTCCAACAAAATTAAATATAGAGTCAGGTACCTCCAGATATACCTGGTAGGATGCTGCCTAGAACGATACAAAGAAAAACCGAAGGAAAAGAAAATAGGGTACACACCTAAAAGGCTAACCTCAAAGACATAATTTATTGTAAATCATTAAACCATACAGAATAAAAACACATTGCATCGGGGATCCAGGAACCACTCCCGACCATGAAACCCCCTACCTCTCTTATAGGGGGGAAACCTCCCACAATGAGCACTCCCAAGATGGTACCAGGGAAGGTACCCAATATGCCCCAGTGCATGTCCACTGCACTCGCTCCACTCCTAGAGACCAACCCCCCTCCTCCAACATCGCAACCACCTCTCAACAACCCCACAGAAAAAAATCCCCCCAAAAAGCCCCCTACCCTCCAGACCCTGCCTGATCTAATAACCCATCCACCAATACACTGCATAAGCAAGACAGATATAAAACAATCCTATGGATAATAATAGACTACAGTAAAGGGCCAACCTAAATACCAGATGACTGTAGGGTAGAATTGGCTGCTCAAAGACCTGAAAAAATGGTACTATATCTAAAGGGCTATTGCCTCTGAAGTCCAACCTGGGCAATCATCTGACTTCTGCTCTACCCAGACACCCAACTGCTGCCTCATTATGTTCTGTCTCCTCAATGTAGCCACTCTACTTGTTTGACTCCTTGTTGGGTCAAGCCAGAGGACCATGACCTGGTGACAGCAGCAGCAAAATAGCCAGGGCGCCACTAAGGTCACCAGTTTGACTAAAACAAAGCTGTCACTTAGACTCTATGCCTTGGGGAAGTATGCATCACCAGGGGTGTCACCGGTAAAACATGGTGGGTATCAGTGACCTAAATGAGCAAGGAGACAGCGTCTCTTTACTAATTGGAAGGGTAGAAGCTAAGAGGCTGGTTGCAAGCATTGTGGATCCACAACTAAATTCCCATTTTTGGTACTTAAGTAAATTAAAATGACTTAGCCTGTACTGCCCAAAGTAAAGTTGAATGAAAGTGAGAAGAAAAGGACAGGGATAAACATAAATTGAGCATACAAGCTTTTCTCTTCTCTAACATGTGAATGAAGCCTCTGGAAAGAAGCCAAACACCTCCTCTCTGGCAAGTTGTTGTTGGAGGGACAAGAAAAAGTTTTTTTTTTTTTTTTCCCTTTTACAAGAGTACAGGAGGTCCATCCTTGGAGCTGACACAGCATTATTGTACCATATGGTGAGCCAATATATAGATCAGCTGTGTGTATTTGGAAATGCAAAGAATTTCTTGCTGTAAGACTTGTCAGTAAAGGAGACTTGCTCCCCTAAACTTATCAAGACTGCAAAGAATTATTGGACAAATTCTTGTGAGGAATAATGGCACTCAATGTTCCTGGGCTGATAGCTGTCATCATTTTCTATGCAATGACTTTGGTCACTGGTCTCTGGGCAGCCTGGAAAGCCAAAAGGAATGAGAAGAACAAAAAGGAGACGGAGGTAGCTATTGTTGGAGGAAGAAACCTGAACATGCTTGTGGGGCTCTTTACAACTACTGGTAAGATCATCACTTGATTTATAGATAAGGTAATTGTGACAAATATATTCATCAGAAAAGTGCTTTAAGAAAAATCTGAAAAGTTTAAAGGAAAACACTTCTGACAAATATTGCATACTAAATACTGAATGTGACTAATACAAGTTTTACATTTCTTTCTTTATATTTTTTGTAAAGTTACTAGTCCACCAAGAGACCATGGCAGGAGTTTACTGATTACTATGGAAATGTATTATACTAAATAATAGCTGATATCCAGTTTTATATTATATACTATGAAATATAGTATTGCATCATAATATATATATATATA